TTTGATTTCTACAACTGCATCAAGTTGCTAGAGTTCATTTTGCAGATGAGTGATTTAGTAATTGCTCACAGCCTGAAAGTAGCAGATTCCGCACCAGAATGCACGACTTCAGCCTTCAAGCCTCATTCTTTTCACTGCTGACCTCAGTTCATGGGGGCGAGGAACTCCGGTCCCGCAAAGGGCAGCCGGCGGCTATCAGTACAGTGAGTCCTCCCTTCACGTTGATACATTGTGACTTTAAGCAAATGATGTGTAACCAAACCAGTTTTACCACAGGCTAATTGATATTAAAAAGAGTTAACTTGCTTTGGCATCCCTCAAGGTCATAATGAAGCGACACTGAACAAAATGATGTTATTTGAGGACCTGCTGTGCTTTGATCTCTTGGCCTTCTCACCTGAAAAGGACAATCCCACCTCGCTAAGTGAACAGGATTTTGTTGTTTGTATGTGTGGAGTATGCACATACATACACATGCACTTACCCATGTGTATGAAGCAATGCGCCAAACGAGGCCTCCATGCAGTAACTCATGGTAGCACACTGGCATAGGCAATTGGGAGCTGCCAATCCCCGTGCAGGGCTGTGAGGGGTTGGAAGTTGTTTAGGAAGATGCACCACAGAGCTACGTGCAGGGCGGGTTGAGAGGGTCAGATGAGAGGCAGGGCACTCAGGGCAGGGGCTGGCGGTTACACGCAAGCCCGGTAACAAACAACAGGGACCCAGCTGTGGGACAAGCAACGTGGGACAGAAGAAAATGGAGAGGACTGAGTGCTTATTCCAGGGTGAAAAATGCAAAATGCCAGATTGTCAGCATTATCCATAAGAGGGAGAATTGTAAGAATTAAGTGCTGCATGCATTTAGAGATGACTTGTCACTTTGGGGGAAATGATGTTCAAACAATACATACTGGCGCTGACTTACAAGTAGCTACCAGCCCTTCTTCCCTGCTCCCCCTGAAACTATAAGCAATTTCATTAGCAAAGAACCAATCAGATGTTTGAAAATTTCTAAAAGATGTATAGTAATTAAGAGAAAGTTCCCTAAGAGCTTTTATCTCAAAGGAGGGAAGATGATCAGGGCAAGCACAGATCAGGGTAACAAATTACAAGGTAATTTTACAAGGGTGAGGAGAACACTGCCAAGGGTTGCTGGATTCCTCTAAGCAGAGAGCTAGACTTTCAGCACCCAATCTTCTTAGCTTTTAAGCGCCTTCAGAGAGTAAGTAATAAAGAGCTTTGCAAGTCGAGCAGCCCTGCCAAGGGGGGAAGCTTAGCCAAGTAGAGCGGAAGGCATTGGGCGAAAGTGCCTCTGTTCCTCTCTGTTCCAACTCAGCCAGCAAATCTGCATCTTCTCCTGGCTTTTGCTAGAGAAATGAGAGAAAATGTCCTGATAGCAAGTAACTTCAGTGAGAGTCTCCAGCGACCCATTTTTACTTCTAGGCATCTCTGATATCAGACAAGGCACGATGGGGCAGAGCCTCAGACCCTTTCCCAAGGAAAGGCTGGGTTCAGTGGGGGCGGCAGCCTGTTGAAGCCCGTCCGCCCGCACCACCGCCCTGGGGTGGGTGGCACTGACTGAGGACCTGGGCTGAGGTGCCTGGTCTGCCATCTCTATGAAGGTCTCTGCAGTTCTAAACTGGAAGGTACAGAGTTGGGCTGGACATTTGGTTTCAAGTGAAGCCACTGGAAAAAACATTTGTACAAATTGACTGCATTAGTTCTTGTAAAGTGACTTACAAATGAGTCCATTTTATTAAGCATTTGCCTAGTAGTTAACCTTCCTTGAAAATAATCAAGACACAGAGCTTTAAATAGATTCTAAATGTATGGCCTTTAAACAGGCAAAATTGGTGGTTCTTTATAGCTTCTCTTATCATACAGCATGACTTAAAATGCATTTAGTGCAACTATCACAAGATTTCGTTGGCATCAAAGAGCCCTGAAGATTCAGATCCTTGCTTTACTGTTTACTCTGATTTTGAGCAAATTACTTAATCCTTATGGGCTTGTTTCCTTCTGTGAGAACAGGAGGCTAACTCACCAGGTGGTGCTGGGTCTCATGCAGGTCTGTGTGGAGGTGCGCACGCACAGGGCTGGCTGCGCCCATGTGAGGGAGCCACACACACATACACACACACACCCACCCCACCCGCCCGCAGGCAAGAGGTGGCACTGTAGGGGCAGTGTGAGTGGACAGGAGGAAAAAGCCGTGGCGGGTGGCAAGACAGGGAGGACAGCGTGGTCAGATGCCAAGGATGCAGGGGCAATGGGAAGTCACTGCTAACGAGGGTGGGGTTTTTTGGGTGATGAAATGTCCTGTAGTGGCACTGGTTGCACAAGATACTAAAACCCATCTGTAAATTTTTTTTAAAATGGTGAATTATATCTTGATTATACCACTATTTTAAAAAAGGGTCCAGAAAACATAAGGACATTTGGAAAGGTGATAGGAAATGGGGAATTTTCAAATTTTCTGGTGGGGTGGAGGGCTGTTCTGATCTATAGGGTAAAAGTCATCATTTAGGGAGGGCGGGAACATTTTTCTTGCCAAATTCTAAGTTTTATATTCTCGCCATACCTTCTGAAGTTTCATTTTGATAAGTGACTTCTCCTTCACTTCTTGAGCTAAATTATCAGTGGAATATTCGCATGGTGTTTTGGAATGGAAGGTGATGGATATTCAGTACCTGTGCTGTTTCACCCTGGGTCTCGGGACCTCATGAGAAATACTTACCAAACCCAAAGACTTCACATTCGCTACCCCCAAACTGCCTTGGTGGTACTATTCCAAAACAAACAACCATAGGCACAACCATTTAGGTTTCTAATTTATTATTAAATTACATAACAAAGCTTCTTCTATACAGTCAGAAAATGCACATTTAGATGAGAACAAAAATTAAATACAAATACAATTAAACTGGTTTCAAGAAGCCATTTTAAAAGCAAAAACTTAGAAAGTGCATTTGGAATAGATTTTTAAAAACCTATATTGGCATTTTTCACGAGAAAACATCTTCCATCATGGTGAAGTGTGAATGGAATTGATTTCCCTCCCTAAGAGCTAATAGGATGGCAATAAATGCAAATACTTTGATACTAAAGTGAGACCTTGCATATAAAGAAAATGAGAAAGCTTTCTCAAGACATGGCTCCACTTTGTCTAGGCTTCTTATCCAATTAACATTGAGTTACTCGTTCCGTTCTGGCCGGGTGGCTCAGTCGGAGCGCTGTCCTGTACATCGAAAGGTTGCAGGTTCGATTCCCAATCTGGGCACATACCCAGGTTGTGGGTTTGTCCCCGGTTGGGGCATGTATGGGAACTGATTGATGTTTCTCTCTCTCTCAAAAAAAAATCAGCAAACATCCTCAGTGAGGATTAAATAGTTACTTGTTCCTTCCTCATTTTTCTTCTATAAAACTTAAGAATATGCAGATTTATAAAGGAGTAACAAAGATTAGTATATAAAGATCATGATGTAAAGTTTTGCATCTTTTGGAGACCAGGCTAAACCACCCCTATCTCCAAAGGAGAATGGAACACAATCCTTTTTTCTGAGTAGAATCCACTTGTTCTTTAGTTACATTTGCCACAAAGTTCAGTGTAACACTAGCCATGGCCATTTATCCTCATTAGCTTAATATTGCAAGTTAGAAAACCCAATTGCCAAGAAATCGTATCTGGCTAATGATCAAACATAAAGTTACTAGAAACCAAAAAGGCTGGTCCAGTTATTTAAAGTCCTTGTCACCAAGTAGAGATTAGCAGTGAAATAGAAAATTAATGGTGGGATGTAAGTCCCAGGTGCCTCAACTGCACAGAGGCCAAAAGGCTCAAATGTGTCCATTTTTCTATTCAGATGTATTCAGCATCCAAGAGGAAAGAACTAAAGTAAAGCCGTTTGGTTCTAGGTACAGAAAGTGCCTCCCGATGTCTCTCCTCACCGTCTCCATGCTCGGGAGCTGACTCCCTCGCAGGTCTGAGTGTGGGGTGGTCTGGGACACGGCGTTCTCTGCAAAGGGAATTCTGGTACAAAGGAGAGCGGACAGTGGAGAAGGAAAGCCCTTTTCTAACATTAGACAAATGAAGGGTGAGCAACACAGGCTGCAGGGAGTCCTTCAGCATCCCACAGAACAATAAACGCAGAGGCAGCCGGGACAGGGTGACTGAAGCACTTGGATATTTTGGCTTGAACTTCAGTAACAGATTTACAAATTTTTACTAAGTTACCAGCATATGTTAAAACAAAACCTCAGAAGTATACCTTTTGGAATTTTCTGCCTTTATGTTGCCATGGGTTTCCACACTTTTTGTGAAATGGAAAGTTTTGAGCGGTTACAAAAAAGATCCCAAAAGGAACGATCATTATATGAGACAATGGCTGGGGGAGACCACGTCCCCTGAGAGGCAACGTCTGGAAGCAGGAACAGAAAGTTCTTCTCTCTGACAGCTAGGAGAGGAGCTGACTGTTGGCTCCTGAGCCTGGCAATGGGTCTTTAAGGACAGCAAAACAGAAAAGAAAAACCCAAGATGATTAAAAAGTTAAGTGAAAGGGAATCGAAAGGCTTCTTAGGTCAGCTACCCGGGATCCACCCAGAGACCACCGGTAAGCGGCACACTTCTAGTCCTGGCTCTAGGTTTTTTCTCTCAAACGAGGGAACCAAACGCGGAAAGGAGTGTGGTCTTCGCTAACCTGCATTGGGCCCCGGCCACCCTACTGTGGGCTACGGCACCGGGAGCCCAGTCTGACCCGACACCAACACCAACACCAACAGCACGCTTCTTCGACTTCCTTGGAAGAACCGGTTTCTTTATCTTTGTAAAGAAAATAACCAACACAATTCTGTTACTTCATTTCAGCAGAACCCTAATGGAAAGGCCATCAGTCATCAGAAGTGTTTGCTTCCGTAGCTGTGGCTACATCAACTCGGGTCCTGCCACACGATCAGCTTCAATGAATGCACCAAATGACCAGACCAGTAAAAAAGACTGGCAGTATAATTAAATAAATAATTTTATTTATGGTACTTCAGATTTTATAAATGCCAACTATATAGCGACCAAAGTGCTGGCTGAGGTACAACCACCAAGCAAGGCCCTTTGAAAAATCAAAGATGATGAAGTGGCGGGCAGAAAAGCTCTGTCCTCCCGACAGAGAACTGAACATACGGACTTCCCCACCCTTGAGGGCTCACACTGGGAAAACTTAAACTCTCTTTTAAGGGCAGCCCCAATCAACTACTGATCAATCAACCCATATTTAGAAAAATAAAACCCATAGTTCAAAAAAATATCAAATTCCTTTTATACCCAGAACATAATAAAACTTTGACCCCAGAATGAAAAACGTCTCGGCCTCTGCATCAGACCGCGGGTAGTCTGCCCACCGGCCTGTCCATCGGCGTCTGCTGACGCGCTAAAACGTAGTCACGAACCACATGGTAACACCCTGTTACTCCCGGTGGCACAGTCTGAAGCCAGTGCTGTAAATGCTACACCAGATCCAATGGTGAAAAGCAGCCTCCCTTCTGGGTGAGGAGTGCAGGTGCTGGAAGCCTCCGAACCCTCTGTGGTGGTTTGGTTAGACAAGTAATGAACGCACGGAGGCTGAGAAATGGTTAAACTTGAAAAGGACTTGTTGGGTGGTTTCAAGTTCTGTCACTGCCCAGGGATGACAACAGAAGATGGGGCAGATACAGACAGATTCTGTCACGCGCGTCTTCAACAGCAAAACCATTCTCTGGATGTTCGGAAAAGCTGAACACACTTGGAATGAAGAGATTCTCACAGAACACAGAATTCCTGTTACATCAGGTGGTAATTTTTAAAACACCTGCTCATAAGTGGCAGGCATTTACAAATGAAATTCTCCAACTGCGAGCCCTCAATCGAAGTCTCTTTACTGGTGGCCTGTTCACCACGAGACCTCACTGAGGACCGCGCAGCCCCCTCACTCAGCCGTCGGTGTGACTCCGACTCCATGAGGGGTGGCCGGGGCACCGACAGACGCTGGCTGGCAGTTTCTTCTGTCCTGGTAGAACTAAGATTTCATTTTCTCCTAGTAGCGAAAATTAGCCCAACTGAAGAAATAAACAATAATTGACTCCTTAAAAAAAAGCCCGTCATTCCTGATACTTTTCCAGCAATAGTTAAGCCCAGTGTGCACATGATTAAAAACAAGAAAGAACAATGCGTTTTTGCAGTGTTTCTTATTTGAGACCACCTCACCTCTCTTAGAGTTGGCCTGTCAGCGTCTCAAAGAATCTGTGAAAATGGAATTTTCCGTGAATACCAAAAGAGTTGACACAGAGTAGAAATTTATCAAGAAATGACTTGTGATTTTTCATCATGACTATTAAATAAAAGGACAAGAACTGTTTGTATTCACAACCCAATGTGGCAGCTAAAAGGAAAGCCGTCTTTGGATAGAGAGGGGCCTGGTTTTCTGAGGAGTCGGTCGGCTCTAAGACCTGGCTTGTCATCAGCCTCAACACCGTCACCGAAGCACAGACGCCCTCTTTCCGACTGGTTTACTTACCTCCGGGGGAGACAAAAGCAACACAAAGCTATTTCTTATTTTTCTTTTTTTTAAAACTAAAAACAGAAGGAAGTATGTGTTAGAAAAAACAGCACAGGAAAACTGTGGCTTCTGCTCAACCTGACCCTGTCCCAGATCCAGCAGCATCCGTCCTGAATGACCCTGCCGGCCTGGCTAATTATCAGGACAGTCCATGTCTCCTTCCTACTTTTCCGCATTCCAGACCAGGGCCCGAAAGTGGTGGCTGTCCAGAGTCCCGGAGAGGTCCTGTCAATGGAAAGCGTACAGCAGCAACAGGATGGTACAGACCCCAACAATGCCGCCCAGGATGAGGGAGTCTCGCCTCTTCCTAAGGTTGATTCGCTGGATCAGGCTGTTCACAGCAGGAAAGCGATCTTTGGGAAATCTTTATTAAGGTCATATCTGGAAGCTTCTGTAGTGAAAAGTCACAGAACTCACACCAGTGGAGATCAGGAGAACCACAAAGAGTAAGCAACGGGGAGAAAGCCGCACTGAGGGAGTGCAGACTTCAGCAAATACACATGCCCGGACTGCAGATGTCCCGGCCCCCGACGAATGCAGGTGTCACGGTGCACTGCGGCACACAAGTCCGAATGCAAAGATCAAGAGAGAAAGGGGAGGGAGAAAATAACAAGGACAGCTACTATGCATTAAGGGGTTACTGCTAGGCTTCAGGTCAGGTGGTCAGAAACAGGACCACCTCTGCGGGAAGCGTCTGTGTAGCCATGCCTGACCCCGCCATTCCATCTGAGCGCTCCTCCCTCTCCCTCTTCCCCCCACCACACACACACACACTCTCTCTCTCTCTATCCCTTCTCTCAGGAGGCTGACAAGTTTTCCCAGAGGGTTTTGAAGCCTACCATTCCTCTGCCCACGGTGATAAGCTCCCTGGAATTCAGGCAATTGGTGGGAACCAACTCTAGGGTCTGTACAATCAGGCACCACTAATTTTAAAACTTTCTAATTTACTTTGCATCAGTAGGCAGGACATGGTAGGAAAGTAGATTAAACGGCTTTATCGTCCTACTTGGGGAACGTACCAAAAGAGAAGAAAATTTCAACTTTAGAAATTTTATAGCAGTTACAACAGTATTTTCCTTAGTATTTTAAACTGTCTTTGTCCTCTTAGTAGTTTGTGTGTTGTAGACCAAATTACATCCTATAGTGTTTTGTATTTGGTTTTTCACTATATGTCTGCAGGTACACCCTTGCTGTTTATAACAGAGGTGTTATATCAAGGTCGGAGAAACCACCACCAAAGTCACCTGGGACTCTAGGAGCGGCAACGACCCCACTCCCTGTGAAGCCCCACTGCGTTTTCCTGTGACAAACTGACTCCCAGCAGAGACAACATTTGTATACTTACAGGTTCCACATTCTGTATGACTAGGACCATGCTTTCTTCTAATGTGGAATTTCCCTGTGTGTCTAGAATAGAGTTTCATATACTATGGGCATTAATGTGTTTTTTGAATTAAGTAATGAGAGAAGAATACTTTGCAGAAATATTCCTTAAAATGTAGAAGAGTGAGAAGCATAAAGAAATAGGCAAACACTTTTACAAGGTAGAAATCTCATATGGAACAAACGCTTAATCTTTCCTTGCTTGGTAAAAGAAGGGTCAACACTCCGTTTGGGGAAAGTGTGAGGACTCTCGGCATCAGGAAACCCTGTCTACAGTGGACACATTTCTATCCAGTTTATCTTCAGGGAACCTCTCCCCTACCTCCTAAAATAATCTACCTCAGTCCACGTAACAGGATGGAGCTGCCCTCGTCCTCGGCCGCCAGGCACACGTTCGGCCTCAGGCCTGGCCAGTGACTGAGCTGGGAACAGGCAGTGACTCAAGCTGCGGTCAACCACAGTCCGCTGGGGGCATTTCCCACAGCTGTTGGAAAAGACACCCTTTTCCCATGGGGAGGTGAACGGGTAGGAGGTGACTTTTTCAGTCCTCTCTATCACTGTGAGGAGAAGACCTGCCCCAAAATGAGGCCAACACACAGGAGAAGAGGTGGAGTAGGTAGGGGGAGCAGAGCAAAAGAACAGATTCTTGATAATAAAATCTGAGGCCCTGAACACAGCTGTATCGTATTCTACTCCCAGATTTTACAGACATATGAATACATTCATTCTCTCCCTTTCTCCCTTAAGTCAGCCTGAATTTGGTTTCTACTACCACCTCTCTATGGAGTCCTGACTAATTTACGCCCATTTTATTTGATTTTTTTAACACATTCTTTTGAAATGACTGTAATTTGTGATAATGATAAAATGAGATAATGTATAAAACACTATTCTGTAAACTGTATAGCTCTATATAAAATATAAATAATTTTGGATGTGTGGTTTCAGAACAAAATTCACAAAAAAACCCTGGAAAAGACCAACACACTTCAGAATGTTCTTTCCCCTGAGCAACTAAGGTATCAAACTAAAAGTGACTTTAAATTATCCCAGATGAGAAGATACTAAATTTTTGAAAATTATATTGGTCCTTTCCCACTTAGTAACTGGGGAAGGAAACTTTTTCCCCCTAAAAGGCTTGATTTCTTAGTAAACAAAATGTTTCAGAGCTGCAGGCTGGTCAGTTGCCCCGCTGGGTTTCTCAGAGGTGTCAGCAATACTAGTTCCCCTTGGGAAGGGGAGGAATGAAGGAGTGGCCACAACGAACAGGCGGTGAATCTGCCCTAGAGTTCGGCCTGTACCCATCACATTACAGTGAAATACTCTGCGGGCAGTTACAACTCATCTACGAGTATGTCTGTCTCCTTCTTTCCCCCCTTAAGCATCTGCCATTTATTCTCCAAACTGAAAAAAGAAAAAGCATATAATTCATGATGCTTAGGTAAGAATAATGTATACCGTGGAGTTCTAACAATGATATGAGAGCTTTTGAAAAGTAAAACAGTTTTGTGCACAGTTTGAAATTCACATTTATAATTTTTTCACAACCTAATAATAATAAACTCCTGGTGTGCGATCTTTTAGAAATGGCACTAAACAGCACGCACGTTCACGAAGTGGGGTGCAGGGTGCACCTGAGCTGTGTGGTCGGTGATGGCCTCTGCCGCCACTGATGACGGCGACCAGCTGGCTGGGGGTGTAGGGGCCCCGTGAGAGGAAAGCACACTCAGATAATTTTCCCTCAAAGCAACCACAGATTTCAAACTTTCACAAAGGATACTGGCCAAAGTGTTCATTTTGCTCTGAATCGACTTCAACATTCCTCTCTGTGAAGTCATATTTTCTTTTGTTGCCATAGCAATGCTGCAAGAGAAAAAGGGAAGATAATTTAAGAGGATCTACATGGATCCATCATACCCTTACAAGTGAACAGTACACTAAGGTGAACAGCATCATCTTAAAAAGCACTGGGCAGGAAAAAAGAATCACTTCCCAAGTCAAATTCCCACTGTCCTTTCTCTAATGACCACTACATCCCCAGTCCTAGCCTCTGCCATCTTTTTGGGAAGGCAGTAAGCCTTGTCCTGTGTTTCCCCCCGCCTCAAAGTAACAAATGAAATAAGACAGTGACAGACAAATCGCGTACTATAAAGAGCTTCTTAAAATGGTTATATAAGGGGCCAGCTGTTGCAATATCCTTAATCAGGAAAAACTATTGAAGGGGAAACAGGGAATTACAATCATAAAAATAGAACCAAAAGTGTAACATATTACAAAATGTATGTACAACCAGACCTCAATTTATGAAAAGATTATGTTCCAAAAGTCTACTTGAGAACCAACCAAGCAGATTTTAGGACACAAATGCTACATTATGCTGGATTTCTAAGCCAGGTGACAAAGGTCATTAAGCAACCTGAGAGAGAAGGAAAAAAGTCACTGCAGAGTACAGTCTCTCCCATGTAACCACTTTAATATTCTTTTAAAAAAGAATCTCAGTTAATATCTTTTTGCTATCAATGGCAAGATTATTAACTTTTAACAGTCTTCTCTCCCTGACAGCAAAATTCTACAGGGCAGGGTCAGTGTCCACCAGGCAACACACCCACGGTGCTGGCAGAACAGACACACGGACCAATGGACAGAACTGAGAGCCCACAAATGCTTCCACAGATATGTGGGCAAATGATTTTTGACAAAGGAGCCAGACACACAATGGAGAAAAGAAAATCTCTTCAATAAATGGTGCTGAGTCCTGGCTGGTGTAGCTCAGTGAATTGAGTGTGGGCCTGTGAACTAAGGGATCACGGTTTCATCCCCAGTCAGGGAAACCCTGGCCTGGGTTGCAGGCCAGGTCCGCAGTAGGGGACACATGAGAGGCAACCACACACTGATGTTTCTCTCCCACTCTTTCTCTTTCCCGTCCCCCCTCTCTAGAAATAAATAAATAAAATATTAAAAAAAAGAATGAGACTAGATTAGTTTGTTCCATTACACAAAAATTAATTCAAAATGGATCGAAGACCTAAATAGAAGATCTGAAACAACGAAGCACAGAGGAAGACACAGGTACTAAACTTATGGACCTGGGTCACAGAGAAGGTTTTATGAATGTGACCCCAATGGCAAGGGCAGTGAAGGCAAAAATAAATGGATGGGACTACATCAAACTAAAAAGCTTCTGCACAGCAAAACAAACTGACGACAAAACAAAAGGCCACCAACGAATGGGAGACGGTATCTGCAAACAACTCCGACAAGGGGTTAATATCCGAAATACATACAGAACTCATACAATTCAACACCAAACAATCTAATTAAAACATGGGCAGAGACCTGAACAGACACCTTTCCAAAGACATACGAATGGCCATCAGATATATGAAAAGATGTTCAACTTCACTAGCTGTTAGGGAGATGCAAATCAAAACTACAATGAGACACCATCTCACAGCCACTAGAACAGCTATTATCAACAAGACAAGTAATAACAAGTGTTGGAGAGGTTGTGGAGAAAAAGAACCCTCATTCACTGCTGGTGGAATGTAAACTGGTACAACCATTATGGAAAACAGTATGGCGGTTCCTCAAAAAACTAAAAATGGAGCCCTGACCAGTGTGGCTCAGTTGGTTGGGCATCATCCCACAAAGTGAGAAGACGCTGGTTCGATTCCTGGTCAGGGCATGTGTGTGGGTTGCTGTGATGGGTCTCGGGTCAGGATGCCCACAACAGCGGCACCAAGGAGAGGTAACCTGTAGGTGTCTCTCTCTCACACCTGTTGGTGTTTGTCTCCCTCTTTCTCCTTCCCTTTCCCTCTCTCTAAAAATAAACAAATAAAATCTTAAAAAAAACCCTTAAAATAAAGTTACTGTATGACCCAGCAATCCCTATATACCTGAAACACTTGAATACACTTATTTGCAAAGGTATATGCACCCCTATGTTCACTGCAGCGTTATTCACGGTGGCCAAGACATGGAGACAACCTGTGTCCTTTGACAGAGGACTGGATAAAGAGGATGTGGTACATATACACCATGGAATACCACTCGGCCATGAGAAAAGATGAAATACTGCCACTTGTGACAGACAACATGGATGGACCTTGAGAATATCATGCTAAGGATAAGCGTGAAATAAGTCAGCGTGAAATAAGTCAGTCAGAAAAAGCTAAGAACCATATGATTTTATTCATATGTGGGATATAAAACTGAAACTCATGGGCACAGATGACAACCGTATGGTGGTTACCAGAGGGAAGGGGAGTGGAGGGTAGAAAAGGGTCCAAGGGGCAATTACACAGCGACAGAAGATGATCTGACTTTGGGGGGCGGGCACACAATGCAACATACAGATCACGTGCCACAGAAATGCACACTTGAAACCTATATGCCCCTATTCACTAACATCACCTCAATAAATTTAGTAACATTTTTTAAAAAGCAACAGGAAATAGAACATTCTTGAGTAATTCTGAAAATATCTGAAACATTAATTTTAAAAAAAAAGCCTGTTGCTTCAGAAAAGATTCTGGGAAGACGACAGTCAGGGCACAAACTCCTGACCTCATCTGCGGCCCAGTTGGCCCACGCGGGAACACAAGAACAAAGGCAGAGTGCCGTGGCAGGCCCTCTGAGGCCCAAAGTTCTCTTGAGACTGCCAAGGGAAGAAAGGCGGGGAGGGCTGCCCCGCTACACTTTCGCAGGTGAGGGCAGAACTGGGGAGCTGATGGCAGGGCAGACTAGATCGTTCTTCCAGCCTCAGGCAAATACCTCCATTTCACTGCGATCCCGAGGGGCCCGGGAAGAGACAGGGCTGCAGTGAGGGACTGAACTGTGTCCAGTCCCTGAAGCGGGACAAGAACTGCCACATACAGCCAGGAGACTTGTAAGCAGAGAGTTCATGGTCTTCCAGCTGCTGGGAGGAAAAACTGCTGGGCCACCCACTAGTGCCCGGTATGTCCCTGCTACAGGGTCTCTAATGGCCTGACGTGGGGGACTGGCGGAACACATTTTTGGACAGGCAAGACTTGGTATCCTACTGCAGGAAAATGCTAGAGAAAGTACCCTAAGCAAATGACAAATGAATCAACACCGAAATTTCCAGATTTGAGAAGGCATGGAGGAGTGAAAAACAGAACAAAGAAAGCACTGTCTGGAATAGTAAAAGATAAAACATTGGAAGTGACACTGGAATGGTTTAGTAGATTATGGTATAACATGAAATAATATTTGGTTATTAAAAACAATGAGTTGGTATTAATTCTACTAACCTGGAGGGATGTTTGTGACATACTAAATGATTAAAGCAATCCACAGAATGTGTAAATATGAGTCTTTTTTTAATTTTAGGAAAGAAACATTTGGTGTGTATTTGTATGGCCGTAAGAAAGGTATCGGATACGCGGCAGTCAGTTAACACAGGGTACGTCAGGGGAAGAAAGGGAGGGCACCAGAAGGATGCACCTTGTGCGTTTACAGAATTGTTTAATCTGTTACAATGAGAACGCTGTACCTTTAAAATTAGAGGAATTCCACCTGAGTGATTAAGAAATGTGAATAACATCACCAGTACCAAGTCTACTACTATTACTCACCTCAGTACCACTATGAGTCAAGTAATGATTAATAAAGATTTTCTCTAGAGCCTACAAAAGCTCAAGAATTCACGGGATCAGGTATATCTGAGGGCAGGAGTATGGAACAGGGGTAAAAATGGAAATATGTGAAAATTCGTACAAAGAATCGTCAGACCCTAGGTTACCTCCCCCAAACCATGCAGTCAGATGGCTGCCTCCCCTTCCGGAGAAGAGACCTAGAGGCACCGACATTTTGATGTCCCCTGTGAAACAGCCAGGTCCTTCCTGGCCGCCCGCTGTGAGGCCCAGCACTCAGCAAGTCCCACCAGTGGGCACCCAGAATGAGCTTCCAATCACTGGATATTGGAGCCTCACCGTTCAATATGAACCAAGAACCAAGAATTGCCAGATATTTGAGGAGAGCCATTAACAAAAAGGGCAGAGATCTAAAGAAACCAACCAGCAAACAGAAGAGTGAGTCTGAGGAAATAGAGGCAACAAAGGAAGCTAAGGACACTCTAAAATCAACAAATTGAGTAAACCTCCCAGAAAGGAGAAAAACTGGTAAGTGGAAACAGAGAAAAGGTAAGAAAAAGAACTGAAGATGAGTTTCCAGATTATAAGAGCCTACCAAAAGCCTAGTACAACGGACTGAAAAAGATGCACACTAAGCCCATCATGGGATGGTTAAAAACAAACAAAAATACAGGGGGAAAAGGGATGATCCCAAAAACTTTCAGAGAGAAAAAAGCTTATCATATACAAAGGCCCAGAAATTTTAATTGACATTGGACTTAAAAAGCAATACTGGAAACAATGCCTTCAGAATTTCAAAATGATTTTCAAACTAGAATTCTATACACAATGAACCAGAGTGTGGGCAGAACAGAGACATTTTTAGAGGTGAGTGTGGGAGAAGTCCACAAAATGTACCTCCTGTTCTCTCTCAGGAGGCCCCGAAAGGACACGGTCCGGCATAATAAGGGAATAAACTAAGAAGATGAAAGACAGCAAATCCAAGAAACAGGTGATCCAATAAAGGAAATCAGTTTAGGGCAACGGTGAAAGAACATCCCAGGACCAGAAGTACTGAGTACTACCAGGCTCAGAGAACAAGATTAGAGAAGGAAGCAGGCAATGTCAACTTTATAATACACTGAATTTTAGATCCAAAAACACAAAAAGCACAATAAGAGTCAAACTAAAAATGTCCTTTACGTCGTTAGTTCTTATTCATCATTTTGCAGTTTAAGTGTCTATCTATGACAGTATGTGATACATTTAAAATGTGGTTATTTTAAAATAAATTTACAGGATATTTCAAAACTGACCTTATGGTCTTGCATAAAGTAACAGAATTCAAAACTGGGCTTAGTAATCTGAGGCCGATCTTTGAATCATTTTATACCTTTGTTTTTTAAACTGAGACTATTACCAACTCGTGTGCACTCTGATTCAGAAGTAGACAGAGAAGAGTAAAAACTAATTTCTGCAGAGCACTTTGTATTCCTTGGAGAATGGGTATCACCACCATACATTATGTTATTCTTTTGTTGACTATGCATGACTTCCAGTACTGCACCAAGATATCCAGACATACTTTCCCATCTCATTATTTAGAGTCAAGTTGAGTGAAATCTGGGTTGTTGATATTTCAAGGGTCAAATACTAAGAGATAAGATAATATAGGCTCCAAATAATATATAATGCTTTTTTAAAAAATGATAAATCACTGATGTGCTTACTGGAACTTCAACTTTCTTACCTATTTTGTGAACTACTCAGACACATATTTTTTCAACAAAAGATAATACCAGTTACACAGTTAAAGCTAAAGAATGTAAAATATTAAAATATAATTTTCAATAAATCGATGCTAAAGTTTACAATAAGTTGTGTACTTTAAAAATGTATCTCCAAAAGAAAAAAGGAAATTTTTACACATATAGAGTTTGTAAAAATAATTATTTGACACTTAAAAATCATCCATAAGTAATATTATCATCCATAAGTAACCATAACTAGGTTTATATTCAGTGAAATTTAAAGTGATACCTATCATATTTTGACACAAAGGGCATTAGTGAAATAAAAGGCCTTCTAATGACATGTTTTTTGTTTTTTAATTAGCAAAATAACAGTAGCAGTGATTCAGTGGTTCTCAAATGTTCCTACCCTGTGCAGCACTCCAAATTTGTTTACTCATATACCAACCTTTAAATAGGCCCGTGTTGAATTTAAAAGCTTAATTAAGGCAGCCTGGCCCTAGAAGATCAGGCAGAAAGAGGAGGAAATAAAAGGAAGAAAAAAAGGGCTATAAGGAAACTAAAAGTCTGTGGCAAAAGGGGATCTGACTCCGTGTGCCCCAGAGTGCACAGATGAAAGGGAAAGGCAGCGTCACAAGGAGACCCTCTGGTTGACCAGCAGGCAATTCTGTAAAAGCTACTTAAGTTCAGGTAGAAAACCCAAGTGCATAAAACTTAAACAAAATTCCGAAATGTAAAACTGTGTATTGTAAAAGATTACAATTGATTAAGGTTATCATTAAATAACAGAAACATTATAATCCATTGAATAAAACAAGAATCCACAAGTCCATATCAATATGTGGGGTAAATACATAGGCTACGAACACTAAAATATTTAGGGGGAAACAGGCATCACTTCTGCAACGTATTTTCAAGTAGTTCAGGGGAAAAAATCATGAAAAAGCAAATGTAACAAAATGTTAACATTTGGGGAATCTAGTAAAGGGTATACAGGAATCCTTTGTACTACTGGAAGTCTTCTGAAATCTGAAATGGTATCAAATAAAAAGTAAAAAGAATGCAATAATAACAAGCTACCATTTACAGATTACCTAGTACTGGCCAGGCACTGCACCAGCCACTTGACTCATATTATCTTTAATCTTCACAACACTCTTTTAGGGTAGGTATTCCCATCAATCCCATATTTTTAAACACATAATAAAATGGAGGCCCCAGGTAACTTACTCAAGAACAGAGGTCTAATAATAGGGCAGCCAGGGTTCAAAGCAAATCACACTCCAAGGCATGTACTCTTTGTACAAGAGTCAGTGCAGTAGTGGTTTAGACAGAGCCCTGGTTCCCGAGTTAGGGAGACTCAGATTCTCCAATACTACTTATTTGTCATGTGGCCAGAGGTCTATCACTAATCTTAATTTCTTTTTTGTTTTGGAGATAGATATGTAATCGATGAGCGTCTATCTCACAGGTTACTGAGGAGATTAAATAAATGAAGCAGGTAAGGCACTTGAGCACCACAGCAGCTTACAGTGAGAACCGCAGTGTCACTGCTGCTGTCGTGCACTCCAACCGCCTCTTCTGAAAAGCAACGCTTTGGACATTACTGAATTCCAGAGTGCAGAGGCCACACCTGGCTAACCTACTTTCTTACTGTCATAACACAGGTATTTAAAAATTCATTAAACCTAGAGAATTAAGCAGTTTGAACCAAAAAATAAATGTTCCTTCCTAAATCAACAAACTACTTCAATGTTATTATAGAGAATACTAAATATTACCAGTGCAGATTTCCTACAGCTATTCAAACCAAATCTACATAAATGGTATAAGTACGACATTTACCAAATCACACGTTTAAGATCGTTTTCCATTAAAAAATGAGAATAAAAAGATGGAGGCTTAAAAAATTGAATATAAATTAATCAGAAAAATCAACCTAGGTAAAACAGCCTAATTCTAGTATTTCTGGAAACAAATATTTTGGACTTCAAAGGTCTCTTATAAAGGTAAGATACAGTAAAAATATATTATGATGTTATTAAAGTTTCATCTTTAAGGGGGTGAATTAACTTTAAATATAGGGTTAAACTGATTTGTTCATTTATGTGCAAACAAAAACTACAATAAAGTAAAACAAGAAATTATTCCTACCTTATTGTCTCTTCTATCAGACGATCTGAGCTGCAATAAAAAAATTCAAATTCTGGAATTATTAAGAGTACATTTAAAACATGCACTTAACTTTTCTATATTTTCTAGGTAGATTAATTTTCCATCCATCTATTAAACAGAATATCCAGACTTTTGAATGCACAAGAAGATGATTCTGGACTCTGAAATAACTTTAATTTATTTACATATATAATTTTCACCTTACTTTTATTTGTTGGCTTAAACCTATTTCTTTCACAGAGAAGATTAAAATCAGAATGGTTTTAATGTCAGTATAAATAAATGAAATTTCTTTAATCTAGATAGCTCAAAAGTTGTCACTATTGCCCATTCTAAGCTTAAGAGTTACAACCAGTTTGTTGAGACAGGACAGGCAAATACAGTTCTGATGCCCATAAGTAGTAATTATGTACACCTTAAAGTTTCTTCCTTTTTTGGGAAACTAAACCAAATCTCAGCGTATCATGCTTCAGAATCTGAATACAGAAACCAAGTGCTCCCTTGATCTGTGAAGTGTCTACCTTTATGTATCACACACTGGAATAAAAGAAATTCCCCCCCAAAACGGTTTCAGGGAGGAATTTATAGGTAGCTAACTTTGGTAAAGGGGCACTTTTACAACAGAAAGTAGGGGAAAATGCCCAGGTATCTGGATCCACTTGGCACAGTGCATGGTGCACAGTAGGCACTCAAATAAACACCTGCATATTTTCCCAATACTTCTTTTCAAAAGAATTTCTAAACAAAATAAAACAAAACCACACTCATACATATGGACAACAGACCGGAGTTACCAGAGGAGAGGGGGTGGGATGAAATGGCCAACGGGGGTCACATAGAGGGAGACGGATAGAAACTAGAATTTTGGTGGTCAGCTCTCTCTTGTATATACAGATGTCAAATTATAATGTAACCCGAAAAGTTATGTAGCTATCACTTCAAAAACAAACAAACAGGAGAGTTCTGGCTAAGATGGGGGTGTAGGTAGAAACTCTTTGCTTCCTCGTACAACCAAAAGGAAGATAACAACCAATCTAAAAGCAGTAAACAACCAGAAGTGCCAGAAAATCAAACTGCATGGAGCTCCGACAATTAAGGAATTGAAACAGTCAAACAGAAAAACCAGACAGGTGCACCAAGACAAAGAAATATGGCCCAAATGAAAGAACAGAGCAAAGCTTCAGAAACAGAGATAAGCAATGAGGAGACAGCCAACCTACCTGGTGGAGAATTTAAAGCCCTGGTAACCAAAATGCTCACAGAACTAATTGAGCTTGGACCGAATGAACTGATTGCTCATTGAACTGACTGAGTCAAAAAATGAAAAAACAAATGAAAGATACCCAAAATGAAATAAAGCAAAATATTCAGGGAACCAACAGTGACAGGAAGGAAACCAGGACTCAAAGCAATGATTTAGAACAAAACGAAGAAATAAACATCCAACTGGAACAGAATGAAGAAACAAGAATTTAAAAAAATGAAGACAGGCTAAGGACCCTCTGGGACAACCTGAAATGTTCCAATATCCAAATTACACGGGTGCTAGAAGGAAAAGAACCACAGCAAGAAATTGAAAATGTATTTGAAAAAATAATGACGGAAAACTTCCTCAATCTGCAGAAGGAAATAGACTTCCAGAAAAGCCCAGAGAGTCCCAAAGAAGTTGGACCCAAGAAGAAATATACCAAGGCACATCATCATTAAGTTACCTATGATTAAATATAAAGAGAGACTCTTAGAAGCAGCAACAGGAAAGGAGAAAGTTACCTACGAAGGAGTTCCAATTAGACCACCAACTGATTTCTCAAAAGAGACCTTGCAGGCAAGAAGGGGCTGCAAAGAAGTATCTAAAGTCATGAAAGGCAAGGACCTACATTCGAGATTACTCTATCCAGCAAAGCTTTCATTTAGAATGGAAGGGCAGATAAAGTGCTACCCAGATAAGGTCAAGTTAAAGGAGTTCATCATTGTCAAGCCATTATTATAAGAAATGTTAAGGGGACTTATCTAAGAAAAAGATAAAAAATATGAACAGTAAAATGACAACAAACTCACAACTATCAACAAATGAACCTAAAAGACAAAAAACAAAAACTAAGCAGACAACTAGAACAGGAACAAAATCAGAGAAATGGATATCGCATGGAGGGTTTTCAGTGGGGAGGGGGAAGGGAGGAATGGGGGGGAAGGTACAGGAAAGAAGAAGCATAATTGGTAGGCATGAAATAGATGGGGAGAGATTAAAATGATATAGGAAACAGAGGACTCAAAGAACTAGTCAGTACAACCCATGGACATGAACTAAGGAGGGGGATGCTGGAGGGTTGGGGGTAGGGGGGATAGAGGGGGATAAAGGGGGATAAATTGGGAGAACTAATAGCATAGTCAATAAAATACACTTAAAAATAAATAAACAAATAAATTCTACATTCATCCTATAAACTAATAGTTTGAAGTTTCATGATAAAACAGTGGACCAGGAAATGTAATTTACTGTATGAATCAGGGAACAAAGAGGAGCTTCAAAAATGTCACAAACATCTTATATACATCCTATGATTAAGAATTTCAAAAATGTGAAAGATGACGGATTATTAGTTTTAATTCTTTTTTTGGTAGAGTCTTTAGGGTTTTGTTATTTTTTTATCTTTAGAGGGGAAGGGAAGGAGAGAGGGAGAGAAACATCAATGTATGGTTGCCTTTCATGCGTACCCTGCTGGGAATTGGCCTGCAGGGAACTGGTCTGCAACCCAGGCATGTGCCCTGACTGGGAATCGAACCGCGATTGTCTGGTTCGCAGGCCCGTGCTCAGTCGACTGAGCTACACCAGCCAGGGCTGAAAGATGATGGATTAAAAGCCAGACTGTACGTGGCTTTGTGAATGCTGGGTCTAGCAATTACAGTTTTTTCCCCAGACTCTGAGACGCACCCCACCACCCCTTTGGGAGTAATAATGGTTGTTAATGCTGCTGTTGAGTTCTGTTTACATTTACATTGGTGAAATATTGTTATTTATGTTGTTAAATATTTTTAATATTTAATTATATTTTACCACATTTTTTGCTTCAAAAAAATTTTTTCTCTATTTTCCTCCTCTAAAACCTAGGTGCATCTTATGGTCCAAAAAATACGGTAGCTCTGTGATATTCGGCAAGTTACTCTGTGCTTCAGTTTTCTCAACTGTAAAATGGCAATGATAATAAGAGCTATTTGTTAATAGGAATATATATATGCACTTAGATATATAAAAGGAATATATACACACACACATCCAGCTAGTGTGATACCCACCACTTTCAGAACTTGGCAAATCACTTAGATAGCACCTACCTGGAATCTTCTTTTAAAGTTTAAGAATAGGTGATTAAGTAAGTAACAAGTAAATGTGTGAGTAAGTAAATGAGAAAATAAGTACATAATACAAACTTTAAACTGATCCCTTTGTAAACTGCAACTGATGAAGTTATCATCAATGAATCAGATCATTTATATCAAGCGGGTGGTGATCCACTCCTTCACTTACAGTTCACCAGAGAGACCCTAAGGTCTGTTAACAGAATGTAATCAAACTGTAGTAGGATACAAAACCTGTTTGAGTGCTAACAGATTTTTATGTTACAGATAACATTTGGAAAACACAGAAAAACGAAGGTGAAAGTAGAAATTTAGCACCATGTGTTGAAAAGACTATCTTTTCTCCTATTACTTGTCTTTGCTTCTCTGTCAAAGACCAGCGACTCAGCCTCTGGGCTGTCTACTCCATCCACTGATCTGTGTGTGTAGTCTTTCGACAACGCCACAGGGTCTCCATTACACACCATATGCATGCAACAGGAAATCGAGCTGAAGTGGGGAAGAAATTTTGTTTCCTTTTCTCCCTCTGCAAGTATTTTAACCAAACATTTTGGTGCAAATAAGTGCTTAATGTCAACAAATCTGTTTAACTATAGCAGAAGCAGAAAGCTTAAGAACAATGTGGGGAATCACGTTGCCCTCTGCTGTTTTTTACATAAATGGTATTTAAGAAGTTCTAAAAATCCTTAAAAACTACCTGAATCATAAAACACCTATGAAATACTAAGTGTTTTCTAATTTTTGCTGAAACCTCTAAAAAATAACTTGTATATCGATGTGTTAATCTGCTTACATTTAAAAAATTGAATATCTGTCATTATGTTTTTCACAATTCTTTAACCAATATAATCATAGAAACTCAATAGTATTATCAACCATGACATTCATGAAACTACAAAGAATAAAGTAACTAGTTACTCTTTCTTACATCCCAGAACCTGAGTTTTAGCCAAGGCTCGAGCTCGTGGCTGTATGAACGCGCCTCATGGAGCTTCATGAGGCTCAAAAGAGTTAATGTACAAGCCTACAGATACGTGGTGACAGAGATGAAAGCTCTTTAATGTCTCCTAGTGTCCCTCTTGCTCTGCAATCCCCTTTCCCAGTTATCAACATAAACTGCTTATATTTCAAAGTTCAGCTCAAAAGTCACATCCTTTGTGAAGCTTTCCCCATCCCATCTATACATCCAGGCTGAACCAATTCCTCTTTATAATGTATGTTTTCATGGCTCTTTGCTCTTTGTCAACTCTTTTGAGAATATAACAAGCATTTAAGACATGTCAGACATTGTAATATAAGCTGGGGAACAGTATCTTAATTTTGCAAAATTTAAGTTTTTCCATATACATTATCTCATTTCTTTTTTAAAAAATATTTTACTTATTTATTTTTAGAGCGAGGGGAGAGGAGGGAGACAAAGAGGTAGAGAAACATCAGTGTGTGGTTGCCTCTCATGCACCCCCTACTGGGGTCCTGGCCTGTAACCCAGGCATGTGCCCTGAGTGGGAATCGAACCTGTGATGCTTTGGTTTGCAGGCCTGAGCTCAATCCACTGAGCCACACCAACCAGGGCTCATTTAATTCTTTTTAAAATATAGTATTTTACAGGATAGCTTAATTATCTGTTTATTTCTCTAACCAGATGAGTTCCCATGGGTTAGACAATGAGTCTGATTCATCTTTGATGCCCCAGAGTCTAGTACAATACCTAGCTCACAGGAGATACTCATTAAATACTTAAATGAACAAATAAATGAGATACTTGTTGGAGTAATAAAATAGCAGTCAAGAGTTAACGCTGAAATAATCCTTACAAATTTCCATAGCGGGTGAGAAGGGTACATACAGTAGTCCCCCCTTATCCATGATTTCACTTTCTGTGGCTTCAGCTGCCCATGGCCAACCATGGTTCAAAAATATTAAGTGGAAAATTCCAGAAATAAACAATTCTTAAGTTTTAAATTGCGTGCTGTCTAAACGGCATGATGAAATCTCGCATCGTGCTGCTCGGTCTGACCTGGGCTGTGAGTGATCTGACCGGCGTGTCCACGCCGTGGATGCTGCCCACCGCCAGCCTCTCCGCTGACGTTCTGGCTATCAGATCGGCTGTTACAGTCCTGCAGTGCTCGTGTTCAAGTCTCCCTTATTTCACTTAGTGATGGCCCCAGAGTGCAAGAGTAGTGATGCTGGCAATTCAGATATACCAGAGGGAAGCCGTAAAGTGCTTCCCATAAGTGAAAATGTGAAAGTTCTCAATTTAACAAAGAAAAAAATTGTATGCGGAAGTTGCTAAGATCTATGGTAAGAATGACTCTTCTGTTTGTAAACTGTGAAGAAGAAAAAAAGAAATTCATGTTGGTTTTGCTGCTATACTTCACACTGAAAATGTTACAGCCACAGTGCGTAAGTGTTAAGGTGGAAAAGGCATTAAATTTGTGGGTAGAAGACACGAACAGAAAAGTTGTTCCAAATGATAACAATGTGCTGCACCAGAAAGCACTGGGCCTGTACAAAGACTTCAGCAGGGACCCCTGAAACGAGTGACCACACATAACTTTTATTACAGTATACTGTTAAAATTGTTCTATTACAGTATACTGTTAAAATTGTTCTATTAGCTGTTGTTAATCTCTTACTGTACCTAATTTATAAATTAAACTTTATATTAGGTATGTATAGGAAAAAACAGTCTATATAGGGTTTGGTTCTATCCACGGGGGTCTTGGAACGTATCCCTCGCTGGTAACACATCTGGGGAGAGAAAATTCCTCAGTATAGCAGAGCACCTGCTACTCAAGTTTTATTGTTTAAGAAAGCCATGTACCAAATGAAGGTGAATTTGATTTCACTACAGCTCAAAGTGAAGGAAAATGAGTTCTAAATAAAAGCTCCTAACTATATCATTCCTACTTTGTAAAACTGGACGTTATCAAATTAATATAAACATAAGCAAAGTTATGTTCAGAATAATATTAATTTGTTATTTCAATATGGCAGACAATCGTACTACCTGAGACACATGGAGCTTTGACTATGTAATTTTGAAATAATTCATGAATGGAATGACAGATATATACTGAAATAATCGAATGCAACAAGTTCTTGTAGACTAAAAATGCAATTCTCTATTAAGCAAATGACCTGCTATATGGAAGGGTTCTCAAATTCTTTGCATATTTTATGGCTACTACTACTATTACATCTAGTTTCTTCTATTTACTTTCCATTTCTTACTTAAAAGCATTGTTTTCTTAGAATCACCTCACTATCATTACCTTATAAATTGTGCTTTTTCCTTGGAGTGTTTCACAAAGAAATAAAGTACGTGTGTGCATGTGTATAAACCATTTTATCGTAGTTGCCAGGTAAATAACAATCATCAGCAAATATGAAGGCAGAAGTGAGGCTGAAGGGCAAATGCTGTTGTCCAGATAACTGGTCAGGTGTATTTATCAGCCAACTGACTTCCCCAATGTTGGCTTTATGACGCGTAACATTCGAGCTTGTATCTCAACAAAACTATACTGCTGGGTTCATAGATAGTTAAGAAAGCTAAAGTCAAATCCTGAATGCTGAGAGTTTACTATGTTACCTCACTCACAGATGTTATAATATCACCAGTGTTTAAATGAATTGTATATTTATTAAATAATATACAGGGTGGGGCAAAAGTGGGTTCACAGTTGCTTATATGGAAAATATACAATAATAAATAATAATATAAGAATAAACTCTGTGTTTCACCTACTCACAACCTAAAACCTACTGGTACTTTTGCCCCACCCTATACCAAAGATTTCTGTGATAAAAATCACTCCTTCGAAAGGACACTGAATTATGGTGATCATATCTCATACTTTTAAAATACGGTCATAGTCTGTTAATACAACTAGAATTTCATTTCATGCAGATTATTCTGACATCAAAAGTATTTCAAATTCTAAGACATGTAAATTGACAGTGTATATACAGCAAAAGTTTTTCTCCTTTAGCATTTGTTTTTCTTATTCTTTTTTAAAATGATTTTATTTATTTACTTTTAGACAGGGGAAGTGAAGGAGAGGGAGAGAAATATCGATGTGTGGCTGCCTCTTGTTCGCCCTCAACTAAAGCCTGCAACCCAGGCATGTGCCCTGACTGGGAATGGAACAGGCAACCCTTTGGTTCACAGGCCAGTGCTCAATCCACTGAGCCACACCAGCCAGGGCTATGTTTTTCTTACTCTTATACCTCTTATTACATTCTATTTTATACAAAAATGCCTCATAGTTTACTAAGCCTTTTACATGCATTTACTTAGCAACTCTGTGAAGCAGACACCACAGAATCACCTTCCAGGGGCAGTGCGGTACTGCAGAAGCAACACCTCTGGTTAGAGGATCTGAGTTTGGATTTATTAGCCTGAGGTCTCAGGAAAATTCAGCTAAAATCACAAAATAAAAAGTGAAACCACTTAAAAAAACCCCTCACCCAAGGATGTTCATTGATTTGAGAGAGAGAGAGAAAGAGAGATTGATCTCTCCGTGAGAGAGAAACATTGATCAGTTGCTTCCTGCACGTGCCCTGACCAGGGACTTAATTCACAACCTAGGTAAGTGTCCTGACCGGGGTCCAACTCGCACCCTTTTGGTGAATGGGGTGATACTCCAACCAACTGAGCCATCTGGCCTGGGCCAGACTTGTTTTTAGTCTTAACAATTTCTCAAATTCATTAATTCATATTCCATCCAACTTCATCCTGTCTCAGTTTCTCTATGAATAAAATGAGCACATACAAAATCTTTCACAAGAATATTGTAAGGAACGTGAGTAAAGTGTATCATATATAAAATTGAGAAACAAGAATAGAAAATACCTTTCTGATTTCTAATTCTCCTGTCATTTTTATAACTGGGAATAAACTATTTAAGACATGACTCCCTGAACTGTTTTTTCCTATAAAGTGGACAATATGCAACTCCTAAAGGGTTTTCTTTGAATTATTAAAATAAATGTCAAATTACAAATTTTCATATAAAATTTATAATAAACAATGTGTTCTGAAATAAAGAAACAGAAGATATTAATTCATATAATTACTCTGGTATATCTGTTTTCAATAATAAATCATTCTTAAAGTAATTCAACTACATTTGTTCAATTTTTTTGGAGGCAATAAATATAAAAACACTGACACAATCTAATCCTTATCCTGTGCTACTAGAGGATCTTAGCCCTTAAATTAGTCTGTATCCCAATATATTAATATACTTTTAAATGTAATGCAAAAATTCTCTTTATCAAATACAAAATGAACAACCAACACTATGAACTATAAACACACTCTAGGAAAGACTGCCCCCTTGTGCCAGTCCGTGATACTCAGCAGACTGAGGAAGAACACCAACCAGGGTTTCACTAGGTTCCAACAGAAGCACCCAGACTTCTAAAAAGGTCTCAATCTTTCCATGTTCTGATTTCAACAGTTTACACTTAAAGTGGTAACCTTTAAAAAAAACAAACTGTATACTACATTAAGCTCATAAGAACATGATTAATTTATGACATTCAGCACCAAATCTCAGCATAACTCATTACATTGAATAATCATGGATATCAGCAGCTCAAATGCTCAGGGGCCGAGCTCACAGAGATACGTAATTTTCTGACCCTTAACTTCCATGACAAAATACAGAGAAAATAATGAAAGAAATCAGTATCTATCAGAGAAAAAATAAATGAAGCAGGGACAGAATATGGTGACTTGCACTTATAAATAAATAAGTAAATAAGTAAGTAAATAAATAAATGTGATATATAGAGTTTATCCAAGGTTTTAGACATTTTCTTTCGAATTCTTAGAGAATAAGATATTTTCTTTGGATTTGATGGATGGCTAATTACTCTTTATAAGGCTTCTTCTTCTTTAAAAGATTGTATTTATTTTTAGAGAGGGGAAGCAAGGGAGAAAGAGAGAGAGAAACATCAATGTGTGGTTACTTCTTGTGCATCCTCTACTGGGGACCTGGCCTGCAACCCAGGCATGTGCTCTAACTAGGAATTGAACCAGCGACCCTTTGGTTCGCAGGCCAGCACTCACTCCACTGAGCTACACCAGCCAGGGCTATAACGCTTCTTGACATATGTAAGTAGTATCTGGCAATTCAAACATAAGCCATCAGTATTATTACTATTATTATTACTCATAACCTATGGAAGTAAACAAAAGTATTAGAGCAACAGACTTGCTAAAGAAAAAATACAGGCAATAAAAGACATATTTCAGGTAACAAGTGATGTGAATGTAGATTTTTTGTGTGTGTGGAGTCCCGAAGGAATTCACTTTCTTGCGTCTAGCGGGGCGGTTAAGCCGCGGGCCCCACTTTCATCTTCCTGACACCAACTGAAAATGACCAGAAGGACTTTACTGCGCAGGCTGAGACTCCAACTCCCGGCTTGGACCTGAACGTAGACTTTTTATATCGACAGCATACCTTTCCTAATTATGGTTGGAACAGTTGCAATTCCATTTCTACTGAGCAGGGTCAATTTAAAGAATTAAACAAATTTGCACTGATAAAGCACTTACTATAGTAAATACCATAAAATTTCTCATACAAGTAAATGAAAGTACAGGAAACCACACAGTATGCACGCATTCAGTAACACCTACTTTCGAAGGTGCTCGTGTTCCTTCAAAAATAGTTCAGTTCTTCTGTTGTTTACTCCAGACCCACCTTTATATGATCTAGAAGAAAATGGAGAAAATTTAAGAACATTTTTGGCAGACACTGCTAAAAAAAGATTAACTGCCTTTAGTAATATCCAAGTAGATAAACTGAGCCTCTCCATAGTTTTAAATGAGCAATTAAAATGCATATTCCTTTTCATCTCCTTTTAAAAGTGATGTCTACTATAAATAAATATGATTGCCTCTCTCTAATTGAGGCCTAAAAGTTTATTCTTTTTTTTTCACCGAAATAACCCAATGTTCTTAAACAAACAAAAATCTTAGTTTTCCTTTCTGTCTATTATCTCCTGTATCTTTATTTTCTCCCAGAGGAGTGTAAAACTTCGGGCGGATTACTGCATCGCACGCGGGATGGAAAGGCTGCCGAAGCAGAACGGTCCCTTCAGGACAGTGCGCGAGGTCCACCAGCTGCGGCCTCGGGAGCACTAAAATGGAGCTACAGACCTGCCAGTCTGGGCACACCTCAGAATTTCTGTCTTGGTCTTAAGCACATTAATATTTACAAGGAAATGCCTTGTACCATTACTATCAAAACTTCCACCACGTTTCTGTTCTTCACTCACAATAAAGTATCAAGAACAAAATAAAAAATAACTGCAAGTAACCGCACATATACTGCAGTTACAAAAGAGGGTCATGCTGCTAAAACTCAAATACTGGCTGAGAGGCAGTGCTAAATGTGCAAAGCATGGTGGGAAAGAAAACCCCAGGAAAAGCGGAATGTTGTAACTAAGAGCACTCTGGACTTGGAAGACTGATGGTTTGAATTTAAATCTATATTCCATCACTTACAAGCCAGTTGGCAATCTTAGATAAGTCTCTTTATATCTAGTTGTATAAAACAGAACTAATAATTTCTATAAATACCAAAAGATTTTATGAAACTAAAAAAGTGGTAACTGCAAAAAACTTTAAAATGTCACTTATTACTATATCTCATCTAATTGTAGTCCGCTTCACATTATGTTATTTGAGAATGTGTCTTACTACGCTCTTAACACCTAGATTGTAAACTCCTAGAGGGCTAAGTTGGTCTTCTCATTTCTATCTTCAAGATGACTGACATAGTGTCTTACTCTTGGTCGGCAATCGAGAAATAGTTTAATGAATATGTGAGCATGTTTCTTTTATGACCATCCTTCAGAAAGCAAGTTGTTCCAGTGGGCTGTCTTCTAGTCATTTCTGCAAACTACGGGAATGCTAAATGCCTGTATATTAAAGGCTGTCCCCTACACTGGTCCTCAACGCATTCCTTAAGAGGTATATGTAAACAGAATGTACAGAAATTAAACAAAAGCTTTATATGTTTCTGAGAACTAAAAGTATTACAAAGTTCCTAATTATGGCAAAAGTGCTTAGCTTTTTTACTCCCATATATTACACAAAGTACAAATAACTAAAAAAAAGACATAAAAACAGAGATGAACCGTAGAAATTATTTTTGCAACATAATTTCTGGAGGTAGAAACATAATTTTGATGGCTGGATAATCCTGGGTGAGAGTTTTGAACAAAAGTTTTGAATGCCTTGAATATTCAGTTATATCTGCTACAAAACTCTCTTACTGTTATGAAAAAATACAGAGCCTCAAGGGAAATGTTTCTCAGAGTACACAAGATTTACATCAGTTCATGACACGGTAAGGTGTATCACAGTTTGTGAAATGTAAGTATTTTACTTACTTATGAGTGTTATAAACTTATCAAAAGTGAGATAATGACGGGCATCAACAGATGGTCCAAAAGTGGGAAGTCTTCAGCTTTAATAAGATGCCCAATGGGTTCAGCCTTGTCAGCTGTGTTCAGTTGTGAAAAAATGTCAAAAATGTGTATGAAATGTTAGAATATATTATTGAAGGTGAAGTAAAGGAATGTAAGAAAAGAATAGATCTTTAAAATTATGGACTGAGACCAGCATAAAAATATTGGGAGTCCATAAATAATTTTACATAAGGCTGTAAGTTTGTATAAAATTTAGAGGAAACAGAATTTCAGATTCCAGAAAAGTAAAAGCTACTTTAATAGTTACCTGAATATATAATAGTAGGGGCAGGAGAGAGGGTAGAGGAGTAGGTGGTAATCAGGAAGAACAACACAGTGAGCACCAGTTACTGGTAATGTTACAGTCCTTGTGGCGGGTGGTAGGAGCTCAGAGAATAACTCCTGAAGGTATCATCTCAGTTGGGACTTTGAATCAACACAGGAAAGTCATCAGAGGAAACTGCAGTTAAGACCACCAAAGTAGACTAGGGCCACATTGTATCAGCGATGTTTAAAGAACAGTGAAATGGAATTAGAAACCTTGAAACCTAAACCATGATTCTCAATTTTTATTGCTACTCAATTTTGCTGTTAATCATGGATATAGTCTAAATCTATATCTGAATAAATATTTTACAAAATAACGTAAAAGGTAACTTACTCAATATCCTTTCGTACTGATCCCATGAGATTCTCCCTTTCCCGTATTGCTGTAAAGTTTGCTTTGGTTTTATGGAATTCATGTGTATAATCCTGCAATAGATCAATATCCAGTCTCAATGTAAGCTAATCATACATTTTCATCTTATGGAGCCAGTTACATATTGTCATCATATAATCATCAGATTATTAACTTCTGTCAAGAAAACTTCAATGTAAGAAATCAAACTGCCAAGAGGTAAAAATAACATCATCACTCTTCTAAAGTGACCAACTTCTTTGAAATGAAAACGACTCAGTGGCAGGGTGACAGTGCCACTAAATCACTGTCCTTCATTACCTTGTCTAATGGGACAGAGCTGTAAAGCAAAAAATAGTTAAGATAAAATGACTTCAAATAGCCTACGATAAAACTTAAGGAGCTCTTTCTAATCCTTTCTGCACCCCACAGGCTTATTTTCAAATTTCAGCCTTTTAGATCTCCCACAGAAATTTAATTATTAAACCAATCACAGAAAGAATAGAGCCAAGAGAATTGTGAAGAACAAAATAAGCTTTAAATATTTTCCTTTCCTTTTCCTACTACTATATTTTAAAGTTTTTCAGGAGTACTCATTATTTTTCAGAAATCGAGAGGTATAAAAAGATGAGACTCATAATCCACCTCCCCAAAAGTCCCTACTGACCCTTTAAAAAACAAAAATAAAACATGAACATAGGGAAAATACTAAAAGAGGACCAACAGGAATAAAAGCAAAAACATCCTGCTCCACAGTTTATAACATAATCATCACTTTAATCTTCTTTTACGAAATGTTTTTGCATATACAAGCTTATTTATTCTAAATAAAACATGTCATATTCTGCTGTACATTTGCTTTTTTGTAGTTCATGAAATATTAAGTAATCTTTCCATATTGGCAAATAGATATCTACATTGTTTTTAATAGCTATATAGAATTCTACCTTATGACTCTATCATAATTTGATACATTGTCTACCAAACATTTTAGTTGCTTTATTTGCTGTTAAAAATGTCACAATAAACATTCTTGTAAATGTTATTAACCTCTCTTATTAAACTGTATTCAGCAAACGCCTAGCAGAATTGGATCAAAGAATATTACATTTAAATCAGACTGCACTTGATTTGTGTTTCCAGCAAAATAGATGAAATGTCCATTTTCCTTCACTCTTGCCAATAATAGGTTACAAATGTCTCAATATTTGCTAATCTGATAGGTGAGAAATCATGTCTCATTTTGATTTATCTATTTTTATTTGGGAATGCAGCTGAACATCTTTTTATGGATTTGGCTACTCATTTTCTGTACACAAGTTCATATCCTTTGTCAATTTTCTTTCTTTTTTAAAAAAATATATATTTTATTATGTTATTATAGTTGTCCCATTCCCCCCTTCATTCCCCTCCACCCCCTCTTCCTCCCACATTCCCCCCTTTAGTTCATGTTTATGTGTCTTAAGTTCTTTAGCTTTTACACTTCCCATACTACTCTTGCCCTCCCCCTGTCTATTTTCTGCCTGCCATCTATGCTACTTATTTTCTGTACCTTCTCCCCACTCTCCTTCTCCCACTCCCCTGTTGCTAACCCTCCATGGGATCTCATTTCTGTGGTTCTGTTCCTGTTCTACTTGTTTCCTTAGTTTGTTTTTTTTTAGGTGTGGTTGTTAATAATTGTGAGTTTGCCGTCATTTTTGTATACGTTTTTATCTTCTTTTTCTTAGATAAGTCCCTTTAACATTTCATATAATAAGGGCTTGGTAATGATGAACTCCTTGAACTTGACCTTATCTGAGAAGCACTTTATCTGTCCTTCCATTCTAAATGAAAGCTTTGCTGGATAGGGCAATCTTGGATGTAGGTCCTTGTCTTTCATGACTTGAAATACTTCTTGCCTATAAGGTCTCTTTTGAGAAATCAGCTGACAGTCTGATGGGAACTCCTTTGTAGGTTACTGTCTCCTTGTCTCTTGCTGCTTCTAGGATTCTCTCCTTCATTTTTATTTTGGCTAATGTAATGATGATGTGCCTTGGTATATTCCTTCTTGGGTCCAACTTCTTTGGTACTCTCTGAGCTTCTTGGATTTCCTGGAAGTCTATTTCCTTGGCCAGATTGGGGAAGTTCTCCTTTATTATTTGTTCAAATAACTTTTCCACTTGTTGCTCTTCCTCTTCCCCTTCTGGTACCCCTATAATTTGGATGTTGGAACGCTTAAAGTTGTCCTGGAGGTTCCTAAGCCTCTCCTCATTTTTTGAATTCTTGTTTCTTCATTCTGTTCTGGTTGAATGTTTGTCTTCCTTCTGGTCCACTCGAGTGATTTGAGTCTCAGTTTCCTTCCCATCACTATTGGTTCCCTGTGCATTTCCCTTCATTTCACTTAGTGTAGCTCTAATTTGTGACTAAAATCAACCAGTTGTGTAAGCACCCTGATCACCAGTGTTTTGAACTGTGCATCTGATAGGTTGGCTATCTCTTTGTTGCTTAGAAGTATTGGCTCTGGGGCTTTGACCTGTTTTTCTGCTTGAGCCATAATGTTTTGGTCTGTTTGCACCTGTTACATATGAGGGGCGGAGACTCAGATGCTCACCAGGGCGGGGCAACCCAAGTCACTGGGTTGTGATGCTGTACGTGGGGATGGGGTCTGAGAGGGAAAAAAACAGTGCTTTACTCCACTCTCTGTTGCACTTTAGTCCCTTGCGCCACTTTCCCCAAGCAAACTGGGCCATTCTGGTGCTGATTCCCCTGTGGATGGGCTTGTGTGCATTCTAGGATTCTGTGGGTCTCTCCGACGAACTTTCCTGTGAGGGTGGGAGTCTCTCTCTGCCTCTCAACCCCCACAAGTGTTTTCAATGGTGTTTTGATGCTTTATTTCCCGGCGCTAGGACCCTGGGTTGCGCAATCTGTCTCACTCCCCAGTTATCTGTGTGGGAATGTGGGACTGCTGCCTGGTCGGCTAGCCACCTTGCACATGGTGCCCCGCTTCTCAATCGCTGCCTTGCTGGGTCTGCCAGCTACCACCTGGGTGCCCAGGGTTGCCCGGTGTCACTTTGCGTGCCTGGGGTGCCTTGCGCGCCTGGTGTCACCACTTCCTGTGCTGCCACCCCTCTCCACTGGGGCCGCCTGACTTCATCCCGCCTACCGGTCTGGATGAATGTGTCTATTTTAACTTGTTCGTTGTTGGACTTCCATACAGTTCAATTTTCTTTCAGTTTTGGTTGTTACTTTGTTTCTAAGTTGTTGTTGTCCTTATTTTGGTTGTTCGAGGAGGCATAGTTTGTCTACCTACACCTCCATCTTGGCCGGAAGTCCTTTGCTCATTTTCATACTAGGTTATCTTTTTCTTATTTCTCTGTATATTAAGCAAATTAGTTATTTGTTATAGTTTCTGGTATTAGGTCTTGCTTAGAAAGTCCTTTATTACCCCAAATGCTTTATTCTGAACTTCCATTGTTTCTTTCTGTACACATAAATCTTTGACCCATTTTGAATTTATTCTGGATGGAAGAAATGAGAGAATTTGAGAGATTTGTTTCCCCTCCACCCAACAATGAATCCGGTGGTTAAAGCTTCTATTTATTTTATAATCCCTCTCTTTCCCACTGATCTAAAATACTACCTTTAGAGTAAAACTAAATTTCCATGCATATTTCAGACTATAAATGAATTCTATTCTGTTCCACTGATCTCTTTTTCCCTAGAACAAAACTCTTAATTATTCTACCTTCTTCACAGGTTTTGATAGCTGTGCACTTTACTACTTATCTTAAGCACACTTTACTACTTATCTTAATTTTCTCATGTTTTTTCTTGGTTATTCTTGTACGTCTATGATTCCAAATAAACTCTGGTGCCATTTTTCCAATTGAAAAATTGAAATAAATAAATTTAAAAACCTGTTATTTCCATTGGGAAGATATTCAACTTACAGGCTATTTTAGAGAGAAATCTTCCCATCTAAAAGCAGAGTAAACGCCCTGGCTGGTGTAGCTCAGTGGATTGAGCACGGGCCTGCGAACCAAAAGATAGCGGTTCGTTTCCCTGTCGGGGCACATGCCTGGGTTACAGGCCAGTTCCCACCAGGGGATGCACCAGAAGCAACCCCTCTCCTTCTCTCCTTCCCTTCTAAAGATAAATAAATAAAAATAAAAGAATAAATAAAAGCAGAGTAAACCTTTTGCATAAACCTCAGGAGAGTTTTGTGCACACAAATCCTACGCATTCTTATTAAATTTATAAGTAAGGATTTTAGTTTCTTTCATTGTACTTTCTAAAAGGTTATTATTTGTAGGACAAAAACCACTTGCTTTTATATATTAATTTAGTGAGCTACCATCTCACTGAATTTGTTTCTAGTATATTTTGTTTAGTTAGTTTTCTTGGTTGTATTAACGAGATAATCTTATCATTGCCACATAGCACAAATTTTGTCTCTTCCATTATCTTGTTTCCGTTTTACTATCTAATTGTACCACAAAGAAACTTCCAAAGCAATGTTAAACATCATGGTGATATTGGGTATTCCTTTTTTTCCCTTTAATGGAAATGCTTTTAGGGTGCTATCATTAAGCATGATGCTAGCTTTTAATCTGATATATGCTTATTTGCATTAGGCAACTGAAGTATTCTTCTATTTCTATTTATTAATTTATTAGAAAGAGGGGAAGGGAGAGGGAAAGAAGGGGAGAGAAACAGTGATGTGAAAGAGAAACATCAATCAATTGCCTCTCATACACACCAGACTAGGGCCCAAACCTGAAATCCAGGCATGTGCCCTGACCAGGAATTGAACTGGTGACCTTTCAGTTTGTAGAACAAAGAACAACCAACTGAGACACACTGGTCAGGGCCTTCTATTCCTATTTTTAACATGAGTTTTTAAAATTAGAAATGGTAGCTGAATTTTTTCAATATTAAAAAGATTTGCCTTCCTATTTGTATACTATATATTAACACCCCACGTATAAGTTTTCTTAAAAGGTTTATTTATTTTAAAGAGAAGAAAAGGAATGGAGAAAGAAAGGAAGAGAAACATCAATGTGTGGATGCCTCTTGTGTGCCCCCAACCAGGGAACTGACCAGCAACCCAGGCATGTGCCCTGACTGGAAATTGAACTGACGATCCTTTGGTTTGCAGGCTGGTGCTCAATCCACTGAGCCACACCAGCCAGGGCTATATCTATATTTTTTAAGATTTTATTTATTTATTTTTAGAGAGGGGAAGGGAGAAAGAGAAGAAGAGAAACATCAGTGTGTGGTTACCTCTTGTGCGCCCCCTACTGGGGACCTGGCCTGCAACCCAGGCTCATGCTCTGACTGGGAATTGAACAAGCAACGCTGTGCTTCGTAGTCCAGTACTGAATTCACTGCACCACACCAGCCAGGGCCCATATGTAAATGTTTAAGAGTTTAGTTCATTTTGTTGTTACGCTTTTAATATTTTCTCAAACAGTGTACTAAATCTAGTAAATCACTCCTCTTCCAGGTTATTTTTGAAGCCTAATGAAAGTATATTCTAAACCACTATATTATTATCTATGCATGACCATAGGCTATTTTCACAGTTACAGTTAGTTAGCAAGGTTTCCCACAGAATATCTACCTAATGATGATTATTATTCAATTTTAGCAGGCAAAAAGCAAGAGATATTAGTTATTAAACATTCTCAGAATTTTATAATATAAAAAAAAGTGAAACAAGTCAAACTTCTAAAGCATGGCATTTTCCCTCTCAGAGGGTTTTCCCCTTTGTTACCTTAAGTACACGGGCACACACTCTTTTTGGGGATTTAAGAAACCCTGTCACAACATAGAGACCTCAAGCCCAGTGTGTTACCTGCAGTATGTCTCTATGTCGCTGTAGTGTGTGCATCAGAGCCGCGTTCAAGGAGGGGACACCTGCACTGTTGGTATACTCTGCCATTTTATCATTTATTCCTGTAAGCTAAGAGAAAGAAAAAATACATTAAAAATATTTGAGAGAGCACCATAAAGAGATAAAAGTAAATTAGCTGCCTGTTTGTCCTTTGGTTAACAGTAAAAAACAAACCCAAAACCAGAAAATAGGAGGCAAGAACTCAGTACTTCCACCAAATAATACATAAAAACTAAAATAACTCTCATAGGACCTGGTAATGGCTGTCATCAAAACTCAAGGGGCTTGGGAAGCACACATCTTCAATGAAGATGGCTTCTGTAAACATGTCTGCATTAATATAATCTAGTATCACATCTAACAAGTACACAGTTATTAGCAAAACAGCCACTTAATGGTAAGAGCTTACCCTTGCCAAAAGCTGTTCAATCTCAATCGCCATTGTTTCAAACATCCTGTCTTGGCTTGATCCATTTAAAAGGGGGGTTGTGTCAGAACTAAAGAGAAGGTCAAATAAGGAGAATCCATTATTTAAACCTAGTCCTTTAAAACATACTTAAAAGAAGGAGGTAATTACTCTTAAAGAGGTCGAGTGGAATCCCTGAGACATTCTCTCTGTTTCTTAAGAAACTATAATAATTTTTATAGAAGTTTTCCTATAAAGATCACACAGGCCCTAGATATTAAATTCACTATATAAAATATAATTGAATGTAAGATTTCCCCAAGCTTTAATACAGTCAATCATAATAATGTAAAGAAATTCCAAAAGCTTGTTTACTGTTTCCTAGATGAAAGTAAATTAAGCTATGGCAGTGCTCAATTAAATGCTGAATCTAAAAGAAAAAATCATCTGAGATAAAAGTGTAGACCTGTGTAGTACAGCACACGAGAGGAGCCATAAAACATTATAAATTATGCTATGGGATTTATCAGAAAGAATCTTTTAATTTTTACCCCAAAGCAATCATGGTTACCCAGACCTCATATTAAGTTCTCTCTTCTTTCCTTGACTCTTACCAAAAATAAAATTGAGATTTAAATGACCTATAGATTGGATGACTAGTTATTAAATAATCAGGAACTGGTTTTAAGTCTAATACAGATAGCTATGTCCAACAAGTTTTAGTAGCAACCCTCTACATTTCCACTTATATTATGCAATTGTTTCAGTTTTGTTTTTGCAAAAATGTGTTGAACTGTCTTTTAAAATTTGAATGGTCAGTACAAAAAAAATCTTTTTATAAGTGAAATTTATGTTTGGCAGATTCAAATTTTAAAACCACTACCTGAAAGTTTCTTCTGCCTCTTCTGAAAAACCTCTACCATTCATGAGGTCCCCCAAGTGGTAGGCATTACGAGCAGTTTAATACAAATCTTAGTTATAATGAACACAGATAATAATAAATACCCAGGCAATAACTGTGCTCTGCAATCTCACTGAAGACTCTGTCCTGCCCTGTGACAGTAATTATGTGTATGCATGACAAATGAAAACAGATTCAGGCATCAGTTCAACATCAAACAAGTACCTTCGCCACTACTATTTTCCTTCTCCAATACCTTCCACAGCAACAGTAATAAGTAGTGAAACAGCTACAAAGTAGCTAATAAGAAGGAGTTTTATTTTAAGATGTTTTACTAGGTCCAAATTTTTATTTCTTGAATCATTTCAATTTATTTGCCTTAAAATATATAAAAATATCTAGTTCTTTTTTATGTGTCAGAGCCAACCCAAGGCTCTGAAGTTAATCTTTGAGTGTGCCTGGGGAAAATTCTCTATATACTACTAATACAAATCTTCTACTATAAGACATACGAGAAAAGAAAAATTGACCAATGAATGTAAGCTTCATGAGGAGGGAAACTGTCTGTCTTATTCATCTATACACCTAGCTCCTAAAATACTGCTCAGCACGTGGTAGATGATCACTGAATATTGATGAGTGAATGAGGAGGCAATCTGTACATTCACCATTCTCAGGAGAGTTTGTAAGTCCAGGGAAATGGTCAAAAAGCCAATCTCCATAATACTAAAATTCAGTTAAATTTAATTCATTTTATAGGTATGTGATGATTCACAGGCCATTAAGTTCTCAAAATACAGGAAATAAAAAAATTACCCCAGAAAGAAAAATTCTGGTTATCACTGAGTGTATTCACTGTGACATACTTTCAACCTGGGAAACAAACAAAAACTCAGAATGCAAATTAGACCTTGAACTTCATGGCCTTAGGTTTCTTACTGAAGGGGACAGTTGGGCTGAAGTAATTCCACGTAGTCCCAGTTTTCTGCAAAATTTCTTAAGGAATGTTTTCAACATAGTTTTTCCTTTAAAGGAGTCACAAAAGCATTAAGTTCATGAAGCACGGAGAACACAGAAAATGCATCATAAAATTATATCTCTTAACTATTTTATTTGGAGTTTTAAAATTGTATAATCACTGGCATAGGCAAGTGAGGGACTTAAATTCAGGAAATATGCTTTCCAGGGGTAAAATAAGTTAACTTAGAAAAGAACAGTCCTCATTCTCTTTTACAATACTTGCTAAGTAAAGGTGATCCCAAAGCAATGCAGTGCAATCAAAGCTATGTGACATCATAGCTTTGTTTGTTTGTTTGTTTGGGAGGGGGGCAGAAAGAGAGGGAGAGAAACACTGATGTGCGAGAGATACACTGATAGGTTGCCTTTCATGTACCCCCAACTGGGGACCTGGCCTGCAGCCTAGGCATATGCCATGACTGGGAATCGGATTGGTGACCTTTCGGTTCCTAGGCCAGCACTCAATCCACTGATCCACACCAGCCAGGGCCCAGTATTTTTTTAAACAAGTAAATGGCCTGAAGTGAACCTATGATTCAAAGATAAGAATATATTTTCCAATAGAACTACCATATGATGCAGCAGTTGGTCTTCTGGGTATCGATCTGAAGAATATAAAAGCGCTAATTTGAAAAGACATATGCACCCCTATGTTCACTGCAGCATTATTTACTATAGCCAAGATATGGGAATAATCTAAGTGTTCCTCAATGAATGAATTTATAAAGATGTGGTATATATATATGCAACAGATTACTACTCAGCCAAGAAAAAGACAGGACTACTGCCATTTGTGACAACAGGCTAAGTGAAATAAATCAGATGGACAAGTACAAAAACCGTATGATTTCACTTATATGTGGAATAAAAAACAAAAAACCCCAACCCAACAAACAAAAACAAACTCAAAGATACAGACAACAGATGGGTAGTTTCGAGAGGGGAAGGAGAGTAGAAGGAGGGCAAGCGCGGGTAAAGGGGGTCAAGTGTATGGTGATGGATGGAAACTAGACTTTTCGTAGTAAACACACTATTGTGTACACAGATACTGAATTATAATGCTATACACCTGAAGCTCATATAATGTAATTAACCAATTTACCTCAATTAAAAAAGAAAGAACATTTCCTATATGTTCAATATAGTAGTATACTAGTTCCTCATAAAAGAAGCAAAATTAAAAATAGTTTGGATGATTAGTACTGAGCATACATACTACATTAGATTCATTCTAAAACACCAGAAGAGCAGTATACATACTTGGCATTTGGGTAGTTCCTCACATCCATTTAGCAACCAGAAGACATAAGAAATACAATGTGGAAAAATCAAACCCATTTCCTTAAACTGACTGGCCTGGACACACGCCCATTCTTAACCCTTAGCATGTCCCCCCTCAGTGTCACAATTTTGCCTAAGGATCCAAATACACCCTAGTCTCAAGAATTAAGAATTTTTATAAATCACTAAAAAACAAAACCAAAAAACCCCCATAAACAATACCAAATTTACCAGTAGAACAAATTACAGAGTTATATACACTTAGTGTATTTTTTAATGCTTTTAAAAACATTATATAGTTGAAGGCATAAAAGAGAATCTGGTAGTACCTATACCTGTCGCGCCTTCCATCTCGGGCACTGTTGTGACTGTAACTCGTACACAGTTTACTGAAGGAAACTAGTTTCAGGTCAAGTTCATTTTCCAGCTGTCGAGCCTGTTTCCTGAGGTCTTTAACAAAATTATAAAAGCAAATCATCAGCCACAACAAGTCTATCAATAAACATAAAAACTCACAAAACTATTCTGAAGAAACCAACTGAAAATGATCACATACTGATCTAGGTTCAATAAAGAAAAAATTTAAAAGGAAGAACCCAGAGATGCACTCAACCAAGCAAACCGCCACTTACTTTAAACTTTAGGTGGGGAAGGGATGGACAGATGCAAATTTTTAGCTTCATCCCAAACACAACTAGACAACAAATGATGTTCTAACATCCCTGAAATTATTTTCATAGCAATAAATACATTTTGTAATTTAGGGGAAAACAACAGAAAATACAAATAACAAAGAAACTGACTATGGTTTATAACCAGGATTCTATCAATTTACTATCTAACTTTATAAAAAAGAAGCCACCACTGTTTCTGACAGAGATTTTCCTATCTCTTTATGTTCCAAAACTTTATTAGGCTTATGAAATTCTTAATAGTAGAATGACTTAGTAATTGAGCATAAAGAGAAAAATATCATTGACAAAGATTTTTTTAAATTGTCTTTCAATAAGCTTACTCAAATTTGGAGGCCGAAATTAACACTGACAATTGCTACTAACAAGGTCAAATGTAATTATGACAAAAATAACAGCATAAGTAGTAAAAGAACAGAAGCAAACAAGTTAGCAGAAAAATTGGTATAGTAGTTTGCATCTAAGCATGGTTGAAAGGAGAAGTCATAGCCCAAAGACCCCCATCTAGATGTAAGTAATCTCACTCATGGTAAAGTGGAGGTCAAAACGAGAGGGCTAAAACATAGGAAGAATCACCTAAGGATCTCACCTTTCAGTAACGATGAATACAAAATATTATTTCAATATACTTATCAGCAACCAGAGGTAGGAAGCAGCAGTAGAGCATATTTTCCAGTAGAGCATATTTTCCCAGAAACCAAATCTCAGACCTGAAGTTCTGAGATTCTGAGAATTGGCTCAGAAATTTACTGACAATATATTTAAGTATGAACCTTGGCTTTTTGTTTTTTAAACCCATACTTTCAGGGATTTTCTTTTTTTTTTTTTTAAGAGCACTTCTTCTTTTTAAGATTTTATTTATTTATCTTTAGAGGGGAAGGGAAGGAGAGAGGGAGAGAAAAGTCAAAGTATGTTTGCCTCTTGTGTGTCCCCTACTGGGAACTGGCCTGCAACCCAGGCATGTGCCCTGACTGGGAATTGAACTGGGATCTTTTGCTCCGTAGGCCTGCGTTCAATCCATTGAGCCACACCAGCCAGGGCAGGGATTTTTCTATGCATTAGAAACTATGAGTTTAAAACATCTGGCACAAAGTAGGCTATCAATAATAGGCTGCTATAATTATTACAGCATAGTGCTTCCAAAAACTACAGCGTAATCACTGGTATCAAAGTTACCAATAGCCACTTCTATATAATTATAAAACATTTTCTGGCTAGGACACACATTTGAAATAGTCATTTTTAATGTTTTAAACAATAAACCCACTTCTCTGTAGCTAATAACTGTCTTCTCCCATAGAAAACACCAATAAAAGTATTTTGAAAGTATGACAGGCAAGTATGGATGAGCTTAGAATTAAGTATCTTAGACCCTGTAGCTGACAGTGACAATACTGTTATCTGTGGTGGCTTCCAGAGGCTTCAGTGGGTAGCAACAGGAAACAGGTTGAAAAGGAAGAAAGGACTCAGAGAGCAGTTTCTACGTTGCAGCAAAGCAAACAGACACACTTAAAAGAAAAAGGTGAGCCTTCTCTCCGTTGCCATGATGGTCCAAGAGATGAGTTCTACATGAGCCCACTCTACCAGACCGTATTTTTAGGAATTAAGTAAATGTACTTGGTGGAAGAGGTATAGCAAATGCAATAATTACAAATCCCACTAGTTCTCTCAACTTTCTCTGTTTAACAAAATGGATCTCCGGAGCAGAGGATAAAGTTATTTCCTCTATTATCAAACGCGACTCGACACCCAACCCTCGAAGTCCCAGCCTGAAGCAGCCAAGGGGCCGGAGCAGGAGACATTTCACTCCTACAACTTTCCCTCGATGGACCGGAATGACAAGTTCCTCCTTTCCCGTTCCCTGCTCAATTGTCTAAGGCGCTGACTCCTCCGGTCTCCCGGGCTCGGGATAGTCTCGCTCAACACTCAAGCCCCTTTTCCGTTACCCTCTCAACCTAGTTCTCCTCCGGCAACTCGGGCCGTCTTCCTTTCTATCTCCACTCAGCCCTCGCTGTCCAACCCCTGCCGCAGGTCCCGCTGCCTCACAGGTCAGCTCCTTGCCCCAAACCAGTCCGTCTCCTCCGCCCCCAGGCCCCGTGGCTCCCACTAGAGAGCCCTGCTCCTCAGTTCGGCCGCTCCAGAGTCCAGGCTCTTTCCTCTGCTACCTCGCCCAAGACCCGTCCTCATCAACCCCTGAGCGAGACCTGCTGGAAGGCCTCACCCTTACCTTCCCAGTAATTGCTGGTTCCTGCCGCCATCTTTGTTGTCCAACGTCAGTCGGGATAGGAGAGTAGAGGCGGTGAAGCCAGAGAGTCACCCCCGTGCCTTCTTCCGCCCTGGCGCCAGGGTTGATGGGATACATGAGCTTCCACAGACACTGCCACCTGGTGGTGTACTTATCGTTTCCCACCTTTTGAGGAGCGAGGCCGACTCAGGCTGGGCATCGGACACTCCTTGTCTTTCTAATATCCATCCTCTGCGCTCCAGCTGTTCATCATCGCATCACTGCATCATCAGCCTGAGCTCCACTTATTTCTCTCTCTCAGCAGAGCCTACCTGGCTGAGAAGAAAGTCATCCTAGGACACGACTCCCTGTTGCCCACACCGTCTAGCGATGCATAGCTTCAGTAGCAATCTCTTGCCCTGTTTTCAGAGCCAGCGTCTCTTCTTCCCAAGGCCGACTCTTCATCCGACCTGCGCCTGTGGCCCATTATCCCAGGATCCGACTTCCGTGCTCTTCTCCAGTGGTCGCCTTTTCCTGACTGCAGTAGTAGAGGTCCAGTCCTCTTTCCTCTCCAGCCACCAAATCTAGAAAGTGTGTGCTGCTTCCATGTGCCTCATCCCAGACTCATAACCTATTAACATCTGCTGTTTGAACCCACCATTTATAGATTCATAAATTAGCAGTCTACTTGTGTCCACGTTTTACCAGTTCCAATGTAATGTAGAAACCTTACCTCCTGTAAAGGTATTTAAATCACACTTGTCTCTTTACCCACTCCCATCTATCATTGTCTTTAATAAATCCACTACATTCATTGAGAAGTACATCAGCTGTTATGAATTTTGTTTCCACTGTCAAACATAATTTATAGAATTCAAAAGGAGAAAGCCGACTGTTTTACCCATGTATTACTTTTTTTCTTTGTCTTCCTGATGTTCCAAGATTTCTTCTCTGCTTCAAAAACTTCCGTTAGCCATTTTTTAAAGAGTATGTCAGCTGGAGACCAATTCTATTAGTTTTCCTCATCTGAAAACGTCTTGATTTTCCCATGGTTCCTGAAAGATACTGTTGCTGGATATAGAATCTGGGGTTGACAACTTCTTTTTTCAGCACTTGACAAATGTGACAATTCCTCTTGGCCTCTACAGTTCTGGCTGAGACATTGGCTGTTTGAGTTGTTTTACTACTATAACTAAGGCACCTTTCCTTTCTTACTGCTTTCAAAACTTTTTCTTTAGTTTTCAGAAAGTTGGTTATTATGTATCTGAAAGTTGGTTATTATGTATCTTAGTGTAGATTTCTTTGGTTTCATCCTGTTTGGGGTTTGTTCAGCTTCTTGAATCTTAGATTTATGTTATGCCAAATTTGGGAAATTTTCAGCCATTTTTTAAAATACTTGTTCCGCCCTATATTCTTTCCTCTTCTCTCCTGGGATTCCAATAACATGAATGCTAGATCATTTGTTAAAGTCTTACATATCCCCGAGGCTCTATTTTTTTCCCCTATTTTCTCTTGTTCAGATTGGGTAATTTCCACAGTTTTGTCTTTTTTTTTTTAAGATTTTATTTTTAGAGAAAGGGGAAGGGAGGGAGAAAGTGAGGGAGAGACACAATGTGTGGTTGCCTCTCATACACCCCCATCCTGGGACCAGGCCTGCAACCCAGGCATGTGCCCTGCCTGGGAATTAAACCAGCACCCTGTGGTTTGCAGGCTGGCACTCAATCTACTGAGCCATACCAGCTGGGGTGGTCTGTGTCATCTCGATGTTGGCATGTGTTGTCTGTTTCCACTCAAGTTGAAGTTTTATGGGTTCTTGGTTTAATGAGTGATTAAAAAAATTGTATCCTGGATATTTTAGATCAGATTTCTGGTTCTTATTTAAATCTCCATTTAGGCAGGACTTCTCTGATAGTGTGCTGGTAGGGGAGATGGGAAACGGCCTTGTTACTATCAGGTAGGAATGGAAGTTCAGGCTTTTCCTTGGCCTCTTGATATTCCAGGAGTAGGGGTGCCTCATTACTGCTTCCCATGTGGCCTCCACTGACACCATAGCAGGAGGCCTCATTACCCCTGTGCGATGGTGGAAGTCCTGGCTCCTCACCTGGCTGTCTTTGACACCTGACCCAGGTGGGAAGGAGTGCCTTCACTACAGCCAGGTGAGCATGGAGTGTACGCTCCCACTCAGCCTTTGCTGGTGGCAGTTTGTTTTTTTCCCCCTGGGAATTTGGCTGGAGTACTGCAATTTTTAAAGTGTTGTGGTAGGGCTGCCCCTTTTCTGCTTCTTTGGCCAGGGAAGACTTTTCTTTGAGCTCTTTTTTTTTTTTTTTAAATCTGCACACTTTGGCATTTCTGGGTTGCCAGCTTCTCCACTACCTGTTATGGGTTGTATGAGGCAACAAGACAACCCAGGGAACTCGCCACTGTGTCCTTTCTTGGATACTGAGGTCCCTAGCTGTTCTGCCTTCTCTCCACCATTCTGAGTCTTACTGTTTCATCTATAATACATGTCTTCTGTGTTTAGTAGAAGGAACAGAAATACATCTACTCCATTTGTCCAGAACCAAAAACTGTCATTTAATTTTTAATAGATTTTAATTCTCTGCTAAAATTCATCTTCTCTTCTACTTTCTTGAATTTATTCATCACCATTAAAGTTTCTGACTGATAACTGAAAAGTCTGTAACTCCCATGAGACTGTTCCTGCTTCTTTTTGTTCTTAACATTACCTGATCCGGCCTTTTGAAAGTAAGAGTAACTTTTGACTGGATGCTGTCCATTATAGGTTAAAATTTGTAGCACTTATTTGAGGCTTCAGCCGGTACCTCACTCCAGAGGCAGTTCACTGCTACTTCCTGCGGGCAGTTCAGGTAAGGGCACGTCAGCTTACTCCAGTATGGGGTGGGACTAAGGTCCGGTGGAATTGTATTTTTGTACAAATTAGTCTGTTTCTGATGAGCCCTTACTTCTCATGTGTAGTCACTTAAGTGTCCTAACTGAAAGTCTGTTGGCCAGTCCCTCTTCCTTGACAGGTGGTGAGTTCAATTCCCCTGACTCTTATCGCCTGAAGCTTCTTGTCTTCTCTGCCGCTTGCCTAGCCACTCCGCTGCTAGGTGTCTCTGTCACCTCTTATGAATCAACAAATGCCTCAAGGTGAAAACTTTATTATTATATTCACTCCTGAACTCCCTTTGCTCTAGGATCTAGACTCCATTAGACCTTTATGTTCTTAGTAGATCCCTGATCCTTCAACCAGTAATCCAGCTTATCTACTTGTTCTTAAGGGGAGATCTTTGTTTCAATTTAATCCACTCATAGCTGGAAGTAGAACAGAATTATCTTATTTTTTCTAAGATTTTATTTATTTATCTTTAGAGGGGAAGGGAAGGAGAGAGGGAGAGAAATATCAATGTATGGTTGCTTCTCATGCATCCCCTGCTGGGAACTGTCCTACAACCCAGGCATGTGCCCTGACTGGGAATTGAACAGCGATCCTTTGGTTCAAGGCCTGAGCTCAATCCAGAGCTACACCAGCCAGGTCAAAATTATTTTTAAAAAGTCTAGCAATTGTCCATTACCCATCTGTCCCATTCACTATCAATTCTCTAGGCTCTTTGTATCTTTCCAGCACAAAATCAAAAGCCTGTTTGATTCTGAAACACTCTGCTAGAAACCATACAACACATAAGTGACGATAATAATTATAAATGTTGGGTTAACTCAGAATTAGTGGTGGTTCAAACCTAGCAATCTAGACCTTCTCCATGACCCCTTCACTTTGGCTCAACCTCAGTGATAATTGCAGAATATAATCCATTGACAATTTCTATTTAATTTGCAATCTCGTTGTACGTTTCATTTAAAATCTCTCCACTTGCTTTTACTTTCCACATGCTTGAACGCCTTTGTACTCCAGTTCTTGCTTGCCTGTCTACATTTCTTTGCATAGTAGTGGGGAACAGGATTACATTTAACTCCAGCTAAAATGCCAAAAAGACAAATGCTTTAACATTCCATTGATTAATGTAAGGTGGAAATTATATTAAAGTTAAAATTGGGCTTTATATGCTGATTTGATTGCTTTTAAATTGTGGGTCATAAATAATAATGTATTTATCTGAGGTATGCACTAAATACTATAGAGTCACAGGCATTTTACTGCGAACAGAGCAAGATGAAGACCTACACAACAGCTTTTACTCCCAACTGAGCCAAGAATCAGTCATAGATTGGTTCAGCTCCGATGTCCGTGCTCCAATCTCCGTGCTGTACTTCCTCTAGAGCAGACTTTCTTTTTAGAGGAACCAGTCACTACAGAAATACAGCTGACTTCCATTTGTTTCTCTGGTCTGGACTATGAGTCCCTTGTCAGCAGAGCCCATGTTTTTTATATAACTTTGCGTTCCCAATTCTTATTAGGGCAGCAGTTTCAACAAATTATTGCAAAATAAATTCATCTCCACTATGCTGAAAAATGCCAAGGCAAATTCTAACTGAGCTCATCTGTAAAAATGATCAAATGTTCAACAAGCTAGTTTAAAATGGTACATAAACCTTTCAATGACCAGTTTTGTGATGTTCACTGTGGAATGATTAGACATATATCAGTCCAGCTGAGCTACAAGCAGAAAGAAATGCAGCCATACGATGTAATTGTTTCAGAAACGGTTTTTGTGTGACTCAGTTTGAGACAGACACACTCTACAGGTAACACTCTGTATTCCTAGCCTGGTGCTATTTTTCTCCTAGTACAGGTAGAAAAGCTAAATATGAAGTTTCAAATGGTAACAATAACTTTTCCTAGTCTATTGCTTTTGAGATGAGATTATGAGACAAAACACAAAGACAAACATCATAAAATAACTTTTATACAGGATTAGTAGATCTGTTTACATATAAAAAACAGAAAGGACCTCATTACAGTTAGATTTCACATAAATTACACAGATTGACTTTTTAAAACTATGATTCAACTTTGTTTAAAGTCCCTTTAAAAAATTTTGAAGGCACAGTGCATGAAATAAACCAAAGACTAAAGCACTTGAGATGAATGAGTGTTAGGCACCTCGTATAAATAGCTATAGATTTTCCT